CATTGAACCACAATACCGACAAGTGATTAATAAAAGTCAAAAGACCAAAGAGGTCACCTTAATACCAAAAAAAAAAATAATAATAATAAAGAGATATAGATACTTTTTCAAGACATGTTCAAGGCCTTTAACAAAATTAATATTCAACAGTTACTAAATGCCTGTAAATGTATTGGCATCTCTCAATCTGATGTAAACTTTATTAAATTTCTTCATCAAAACAGAAAAGCTAGAGCAATTACTGCCTATGGTCTAAATGCTCTAATCACATTATACTTGGTCATAGAACAAGAAGAAACCTATTCTCCACTATTCTGAAAAATTTACTATGACACTATTTTTAGCTATATAAACTCAAATATAACTCAAAGCTCCTTAAAATCTTATCACAATTTTCATTAAAAATAATCTTTTCAACTACTTCATTTACTATAACAATATCACCTCTTGCCTTCATAGATGATACAGTATAGTACTATGAATTCAAAAATGATCTTTAAAATATCCTAGATGATATATCTGAACTTTACAAACTAAATAACATACAAGTTAATTTATCTAAATCAGATCTCATTCATATCTTATCTAATAGGAAAACATTACTTAATACTACTCAAGATACAAATTCTCTAAATTTTAATAACCAATCAATTATATTCTGCAAAGCTAATAATTTAATTAGATACTTAGATATTTTTTTAGATGAAAAAGAATCAACTAAACCTATATTCAAAAAAATTATTAGTAAAATTTCCTAATTCACTCACATGATCCAATACAAAAAACACCTCTCTATATAAATATCTTAACTATTTAATACTATTCTTTCACTATCAATTGAATACTTACTTCAAATCTGTTTTCCTTTACAAAATCAACTTTAACAATTATCAAATTTCTTAACAAAATATACCAAATACATGCTTCACTTATCTACAAATACAAATAATAATATAGTTATAAACCTACAATTACTCAACATTCCTATACTAAACAAACTAATTCTACAAGTTAGTAGTAGTAATATAAAAAGATGCTTTAATACTAATGAACTTCTAAACCAAATTATTATATACTGAATTAAGAAATGGCTCTTCAAAATATGGAAACCATTTCTAATACAGATATAATTTTAAAAAATTACAGAAAAACTACTAATTTCACTATAATATCCCAACTTTATTATTTATATAAAAACAATATATCTCTTAACAACTTCTATCTAACTCAACTATCAACTTATAAATAAACTAACCAACTAAACAACATTTACAACTTTATTCTACTTTTAAGTAATTCAATAACTTCAAGTTTTAAAAATAACAAAATTTTTTTTCTTGAACAACTTCTTATAGTCGATAATCTAAATTTATTTTTTTAAAAAAACATATATTTAAGAACTCTTAAATCTTCATGAGACCCTATTTCAAGCTGGTTCAAAACACTTTCAAACCAAATATTCACCTTTTCTATAACATGCATATAGCCCAACATCCAACTTCTATCAATAAATCCATTTCTAAATACACTTAATCTAATCACAACTCAATCTAATAATATCAAAAATATATAAACAATTTACACCACACCTTCAAACTGGCACATAGACAAAATAACAAACAAATCCAACTCATTACTACTTTTTCAAAACTATCAAATTATCAATTCAATATCCAACACAATTTGTATTTCTTTTATACCAATAATGATTCAAATCAATTACAAAAATACTATTAATTTAAAATACAAAATACAAAAAAACAAGAACACTTTGAGTTTAACATCAACAATCAAAAAATTCAAGTACTTCAAAATATTTACTTAGAGCTCTACAAACTAGTACTTCAATCCTTACCCTTTCTCTCAATATCTTTTTCAGAAATTATTTTAATACAAAACACAATACCTGATCCTATTTACTAAAACCAACTCATTGATCTTTATAAAAAATCTTATTGCTAAAACCAACCAATCTAAACTTCTATACAGATGTCTCTATACTCAATTCATAAACAACTAACATCTCGACAAACATTGCTTAGATCCTTGAAAAAGATATACAAATCAAATTTAATACTTCTATAACTTATGTACCAAACTCAACATGAGCAGAATTAGCAATACTTATTCTTCTATTTCTTATCCTATCTGCCAATTATCAAATTTATATCTATTTAGATAGTTTATCTATGATTCAAACACTCTTCAATATACTACTCTACTACTACAAATTACAAACTAAACAAAATAATTAGGATATTATATATATGCTTAATTATTTAATAAAATTTAAAAACATCAATTATATCATACATAAAATTAAATCATATTCAAAAAATACTTTACATAATATAACTGATTCTCTTGACAAACAAGGTGTCAACAAGACTAAATTAAAATTTAATCTTGATCACTTTTACCTACCTATTTATTTTTCTTAGAAAGAAATTTCAATTATATACAAACTATATAAATTCTATAAAAACCTAATTTCAATATAAATATTTAACAAATTTTTTCAACTCAAACCATTATAAAACCTTCCAACTATAAACATTCTATTATTAACTGAAATTATTAATTTCCAAAACTCCAATCTCAAACTATATTCTATTAGAAACAAAATACTTCTCAATAATTTATCTACAATATCAAATCTTTATATCTGCTATCCTCTTCTCTATTTAACCCCAAATTGCTCATATTGTAATTAATATAAAAGCACTAAATATTTATTCCAATACTTATTCTATTTTTATAATCCACAAAACACTCTTATTAATGAAATCTCAAATGCTTTAAACTCTTTAAACATTATAGAAACCTTATCAAATACAATAATACAAATTTTTACTATACAAAACACTCTTCTCAATCTAAATATATATAATACAATACTATTACTCATTCAGGATATAATAACCCTCTATCAATACAATCAACTTCAACTTACTCTAAAAAAACTAACCAACAATTTTCTTATTTCTTTATCTAACTTATTACTTATTTGATTTAATTCTACTATCTGGCAAACCTATAATACTAAACAATATGAATAAGAATTATTATGAGGAATTACATCCTCTACTAAAAAGAAAAACAATATTAGATTACCTACTACTCAATTTACAAATTCTAACAATTTTACTTTCACTTTTAATACTGATATAGATTTCTTTATTTTTAAAACTCTTACTCAAAACTTCACTATACATACTTGTTTTTACTAATTAAATAATCTTAAAGGTTCCTTTTACCCTCTTTGTAGTTAAGTTCATGTCAATTAACTCAACTAAAAACAGAAAATTAAAGGATAATATCACACTAGATGATGTAGCATATAACAACAATAGTGTAGTTTAGAAATAATATTCTAGTTATACATCCATATCCAATTGATATATAAATGTATTTTTATTTTTCCTACTTGATATATATAAATAAAAAATAAAAAATAAAAAAAATAAAATAAAAGAAATTAGGATATTGTTTTAATGTTTTATTACAAAAATAGGTACGATCATAAGTTGGATTAATCTATTTTCTAGGTAGGGTCTTCTTGGATAAAGCTTTTATTCCAATTTTAGACGTAGAACCCACACTTATCTTGGTTTTCGAATTGACAGAAACAGGAGATATACTTACATCGACTTCTGGTTCAAATATAGGTGGTGCACTTGTAGTGATGGGCAAATCGTGGTTTTTTTAGAATCACGCGCAGCTGCGCGGGATCCGCGGGATAGGATAGAGTTTTTTAATTTCTCACGAATAATAAATATATTCTTGATGCATTACTTTTATATTAAAATTAAAAATTTTAGATTCTTTACGTTATTAATATTAACAGTTTAAGAAATTAAATTTTCTATGCGGAATGATAAATAAATAAAAGGTTCTACAGAGAAATGCGTGCATATGTACATTAATAACAAATTAGGAATTGGCCTGATTATGTTAATGCAGGCCGGATTAGATGTAATGTAGGCCAGATGAAAAGCTAATGTGGGCTGAATAATTTCATATTAAAAATCCCACGCGGGATCCAAAAAAATCCCGCGCGTTGCCCATCACTATGCACTTGCCTGAGCTATCGGTGAGGTCTTCTTGGTCATGTCAGTGTAAACTTTGAAATAGAATCCGCACTGAATGTCTTGATATTCTTAATCTTATCAACTCCTATCTTTTCGATTAATTTGTAAAGTTTTATAGATCTTTGGGTTCTTTTACGTAAGGTTTCCAAAGTTAATCCAGAAAGGTGTTTTATTATATCCTGGAATAATCGTTTTCTCGCTGTCTGTTCTGAAATGTTTTCCTTTACCATAAGTTTTTGAACTCCCATTTCAAATCTTTTTCCATATGAGTAATGACATGAAATCTCTTTCTGTTTAGCTTGTATAGTATTTTTTTCTTCAATACTTACTTTTAGAAACAAATGAGCTAGCTCAACTTCTATTGTCATATTGGTAGTGAGTACATCAACGACTTCGATGATTTCCTCATCTGTGAACTTTGAAGACACTTCTTGAATAAAATCTTGGGCGACTATATAATTATACGAAACTTTTGTTTCTTCAGGCTGTATCGGCACTGATTTGCTGTTTTGCTCAAGTGGGACTTTCGGTCTCACTTTTTCACTACATAATTCTTCAACCGATATAGAGGATTATTCTTGTTCCCGAAGTTTCTTCTCCCTAATTCTCTGAATTATCTCTTTACTAACCTGTTCCTCATATAGTGAATCTACGAATTCATCTATTTTCTTGTCTTCCGATGACTTACTCTCTGTGCAGACGGGTGATGCGGAATATTGGGATGAAAGCTCCTGACATACATCAGAATTTGAAGTGTTATCAGATATATTAATTGCAAGAGTATCAATAGTATAGCCACAAGTCTCTGACTCATTACAATGTAAGTTTGTCTGTTCAGGAGCATCGTTAGAATTTTCCGTTTCAATGGAGGTGGTATCATCCGATTTAGATGCGAAGGCATCAGTGAAGCTGGCACGGTCATTACTTTGTAATATAATATGGTTGCTCTTTTCTTTGTCAGTTTGTAACTGTTTCTGTTCCAATTTCGCAACCCTAGCTTTAAGTTTGGCATTTTCCGAAGCGGTATCTTTATCGTTCTGCTCCAGTTTTATAAATCTGGATTCATGTTCTTTCAAAGCCTGTTTTAATTTTGCATTCTCAGTTTTAAGTTCGATGTTCTCAGACTTGATCTCAGTGTTTTCCTGTCTAAGTATATCATTCTTAGCTACAAGCTTGAAAATTCGTTCTTCTAATGAATCGACTTTGGATTGTTTGTTTGCCATTTTTTATATTTTATAAAAATATGGATATATTTAATTCTTTATCGTGTTAATGTAAACTAATGAAATTTCAGCGAACAATGCCAAGAAAAAACTTTTTATTAATACATGCGAAAAATAAATACAAATGTTCGGGACTAGCCCGCGATACATGACGTCTATACTATTATCTGTGGACTGTCTGCGTGAAGGCAGGATAAATTCAGAAATACATATGCAAAAGTAAACTGATTATGTATGCGAAATCGAGCCACCAAGGCCAACTTTATTGATATGATAAAAAAAAAAAAAAAAACAAAATACAGGATAAAAATATAGAGAGATACATTATAGAAATTTGCGTTTAGGCAGAATAAGGCTTCGGTCCAGAGTTAATTTTTCTGACAAAAAAAGGTATTTGGCCAACCTTAACACTTCATTATTCACAATGCTAGTATTTTTCAATAAATCGGATACGTTAATTATATGCATTTACTAAAAATATACAAAAGTGAAGTAAAAATAAAAAAATGAGCATTCGTTGGTTGGTTATCCAGGTCACACCACGCGAAGGTCAATGCTCGAGTAGCCCGTGTACCACACATTGGTGGATTTGGTATTAAGGAATGACAATGGTGAACGAAATTAATGGTTAATGATGGACGAATTAATGGTTATGTAAAAAATGAAAAGGGTAGACTAAATTAATGGTTAGGTAATATAACGAAATTAATGGTTTACAAGTTCATGATAAAATAAAAAATCATACGGTATATCTTGGAGAGAGTCTATTGCGAGATTAAGGATGATTTCGGGAAGGTGGGATTTATCCGTCAATATGACAGGATAGGTCGATATTTTAGCTTCATTAACCGCGAATTCTGTAAAATTAAGTCGGGGAGAGACCAGAATACCGATCGTGCCTAGATCTCTTTGACATATCGCACCTCTTAATTCGCGAACGACGGAGGGTCCTATATTACTTTCTATTAGTATAATTTTTTGAATCAAATGTAAATTAACGTTAAAACCTGCCTATTGGTTTATCCCAATTCTTGCATTGAATTAAAATCGAGACCCCTCTTACTTCGCAAATTATATCTACACCTCCGTCGTTACGCCTCCTATCAATAAACAAAAAGTGAGTAAATGCGTCATCGTCATTATCAATTAAAGAACGCACGCCGGAATATTCTACGGTGATGTGCCTTCAGTAATTAACGTGTATCCTATTCACCACTCGCCCCGAAGTGCGAAACCCGGCCTTACTATATCATAGAATTAGCTTTTCGGATACGAACAGAAGAACGTTCACCATCATATAACGGTGGCCACGATGCGCTTTCAATTCTAATCGATTTTACACCTAGTGACAGCGTATCTTCGGATACACGATAACTCGACAAATACTCAATAAGAAAGAAAACTCACCCTATATGCTTAACATTAAGGCCCATACTCTTTAATAGCTCAACAACATCTATCTCAAATATCTTCCCCTTAATGTAACTCGAATACTTGATCATGACTGCAACTGCAACAGACTCTGACATCTTTTAAAAAAATAAGCTTTCGAAAACGTAAGAGACAGATCAAATTTTTCACATATCTTATATTATGATGTGCCATCACTCCTTTTTCGCTGGGAGCATTTTGTCAAGAGAACGTGCTTAAATTACTCGAATCATATACCACAAATGCTAAAATACCATTTTTAAAATGTGTCGAAACTCATTTATTTCAGCAGATTTATATCTATTTCCGGTCGCACGTCAAAGCCTGCTTTATTTAACCTTAAATAAAAATTGTGCCTCAAAGATTATTTACGACAATCACACCACACACGCATACAAGTTCCCTATGTGTAAGGTTTGAATATGGAGCAATCATATACCTTAGTTACACAATATATTAAATTCGGTTAATAAACTCGTAATACCAATACATGCATTTTCTTATTTACGACTGGTTTGAAGATCAGCTCTGGTAGTAACTTGAATCAAATTTGAATATCATATTGAGAAATCGATCTTATTGTAACGCAAGGGGTCTGCAACAATCAAATAGATTATACATGCAGAATTTCTATAACTTTCCAACCTATTCCGTAATACATTTATCAAGTTATTCGAACATCTGTATTATACAGGTTGTACGACTTTTGACACACCATCTAAGTATTTTGGCCTCGGTAGAGGCTGAAATAATAATAAATGTTGTGCGGATAAGGTTTCGGTCCGGAGTTGATTAAAATAAAGTTAGAAATATATGTGTTATAAGATGATTGACCGAATTTGATTTTAAGAAATGAGGATACCCCGCATCTAGAGTACTTATTTTAGAAAAATGACACTTTGTACCTGTGCCCCGTAACATAAATTATGCATAACGATAAGGCTAGTAAGGTGATACAAATAAATTACGCATACGTACGTAAATAAAATGGCATTTACAAATAGCATTTATAATACGCAAAAAATCTTATTATAAATGAATAAATACTGTATTATTTCGTCATCTACAAAATTTTATAAGAGAATGTGAACCGAGTTCACAACGTCACATGCTTACCGCAGTAAATATTTATTTATTTTGCGAATTTGCCTTCAGCGCTGAAAGTGGGATTTTTTATATTATAGTATAATAGATACCGGTGCATAATAACTACAACTACCATTTAGATCATCAAAAATTGAACCCGCTGATTGGCTGTTTCCTTGTTAGGAGCTTGACGTAAATTTGTCAAAGAAACCCCAAATTTCTGCGTTTTACTAACCATGGTTATTCGCCATCAGGATTTATAAATTTTAAACTATCGTTATCGTTATTGTTAATTAATTATTCGAGATTCCCTTATGTAGAAAATTATCGCATTCACATCGCTTATATATTCCATCCACTACCATTTTGCATGTTTTACAATACAGATGTGAATGGTGATTGCATTCGTCACAAACCTTACACCCATGCTTCCATCCTCTAAAGATATGCCACTTTTCGATGTAATTTCGATTTTTTTTATTTGTTAATACATTACTCTTATATTAGCCGAAAAAAATATATACGTGTTCTAAATTTTTTATCATTCAAACCTGCAATTAGTTGATACTCAATATTGCTACCGTTATGTAATATCAATAATGTAGTACATACGTAAGTAAAATAATTCATTTTCCCGTTGATCTTCCTGATAATGCAAATAATTTTTGGTTACTTCAACAGATCAACCGCCTATACTGGATATATTGTAAAAGTCAAAATGAACTACAGTAAATAAATTAATTCTTAGCAAACGAATATATTTAAAAATTAAATCATAGATAAAAGCTTTATTAATTTTGTAGATATATATGAAAATGACCCGGGTCAGCTAAGTATAAAATAAATATTGGAGTAGCAGACATTTAAAGAGAGAAATAAAGCATGAAAGACTGTGCTTGCTGGTCCCTAGACCATAAGATAGCAGTTCCTTCCTGCTACTCCATGTTATCTAACCATTTACCTATATCATTAAGTGTGGAACTTTTACAACTAGTGCTATTATAAAAATTTTTAATTGTTGTTATTTTAATTTTACCACCAAGGTCTTGGATGCATACCTCTATCCTGTTACACATTTCATCAAAGGTAAGATTTCTTGTATTTCTTTCTCAATCAAATATTTCTTTAAAGCAGGCCTAGATGATTGAGTTAATATTTGAATATTAAATTCGATCAGATCCTATAGAATTTAATAATCATATAGAAAATGATGATCGTATGGATGATGATGATGCTTCACTTTATTGATTAAATCCTTTTTTGCTTATGCTTTGGATAAGAGAGTATCATTGATTGATTTCATTTTGGTATTTTATAATAGTTCTTTTGATTGTTTCAAATTCATTAATAATTTGATTAAAATTATTGTAATAGGTTTCTAGAATCTGCTTAATTTCATTATATTTTTTATACACATCATTGATCATGATAATGATATTCTGTACCTCTAACATATAGTTGACATCATAAAAATTAATTTTTGTGGTGAGTTCATCATTGATTTTAGTTTTGATTTTGCTGATCTCTATATTAAGTTTTTGTACATAGTACAAAAAAAAACATATACCAAAGATCTCTATATACAGAAAAGCATGATCAGAAAATATCATTACAAGGAGGAAAAACAAAGTAGTTAATACTATAAAAAACATATTTTCTAAAATATTGAATGAATGCATCTGCATGAGAAAAGAAAATCTAATTAGAAAATTAATTATAAAAAACACATAAACATTTAATTACAAGTAAAGATACTTTTATTTTTAATGAATTTGCTTTTACTAGTATAAACTTTTATTAATTATATTGTAATTCTTTATTTTTTTTAATTTTATAGAAGTAGTTATATGAAAGAAAAAATTTCTTCTTTTATAGATTAATAGTTATATGATCAATTATTTTATATAAAAACTTGAACTTATTAGAAAAATGTTAATTTATTATTGAAAAATAAAGATGAGGTTCTAGATCAAAAAGTCATAGACTGGGTAACAAAAAGAACAATATATAATCTTATTTAAAATTATTAGAAGTATTAGCATACTAGATTTATAGATCGAGCTTCACATATATGTTTTTAAAATAGGGTTATATTAATATAATATACTACTCTGAAATATGCATTATTAAGTAAATTTTATATCCCTTATCTATGATTTGCAAAAAATTTCTATCAATCATTTTCATATCACGATCTGCAAATGTAAATCAGAAATGTCTTATTAATAATTCAAGGTTACATAATGAAATATGTGTTAGAACTTTTAAGTAGAAAATAAGTAGCTATGCATTATAGTTATACTAAACTAGGAACAGATAATAAACTATATAAACAAAAAACAATATCTAGGGTTTCAAAATTAAAACTAAAGAATCTTAATTTATTTTAAAATATGCAACTTATCAAAACCTCCTAAGGTCCATTATAATGTGATATAATTTTATAATTTTTTTTGAGTATCCCTGTTGCTTTAGCAACTAGGAGCACAGGTGGCACTTTTTATTAAGATATTATTATATTAAAATATTGTGAGCAATCTAAGTACATTTTAGATATTTACAGATTAGTTTAGTAGTTTTAGGTCTATAACCTAGTATATTATGTTTTAAGACATATATTTCTTTTGAAATACAGATTTTGATTAGCAAACTAAGTGAGCTTAAAGGTGTATCAGAACTTCTTCATTTTAATGTAGTGTATCAACACCAAATTTCATAAATTATATTGATATGTAACCAGGTTATAGTGGTTAATGCTTGAATGCATCCAATATTAGAGCTTGAAAAACACTTTCTAAAGTAGTCAGTAAAAGTTTTTCTTCATTAATGTTAAGAAACTTATATGTCTCTTTTTAGATTATTCTACTTCTAGAACATTCTAAAGCAAAATGTTTAAGGATTTCTGATGATCCAATATGTTTAAGACAATAACCTAAAGGAAGAGCTTTGTGAATTTATAATTATAATTAATTTTGTAACTATATATAAGATCAAATGTATCAAAGATACTATATATAGCTCTCCTATAAAGCTTAATAATTAGATATAATAGTATTCTCAATTTTAAATTTATTAGCATTTTGACTTACAAAATAAGAAGGCTATATTTCTAAACCTTTTGGGTCATTGCTTTGCAATAATACTGATCTTGAGCACATTTTACAAATATTCTATTAGGTTTATAGAGTCATTTAATTATTTTATATTAGATTATTTTAGCTAAATTTATTCATTTTTTTTATAAACAAATATATTTTCTAGATAATTAATGATACATGATTTTTTTATACAAAGTTACAAAATATGTTACTTGAATTTTAATTTCTTTAAATTTAGAGTAATTAGCTATAGATTCATTTCTGATTAGATTATTTTTAATATGAAATACAAAGTTTTTCTAATGTCCTTATTAATAATATCATATCTTAGTATTAATAAATGTCTATATATATATTTGGATGAATGATACTTCATAAATCATAATTAAGCTTCTAATGTTTTAAAATTATTGATATAGTTTAAATCATATTTGGTTAACATGTATTAGGTATAATTATTTTTTATATATTCTTTACAAATATCTTGAATATTGGACATGTTTATATTTCAATTTTATTAACTAAAACTCTTTATTTAATAAGTATGAGCCAGGATTGCTAGATCTTTAGTGGCAATTATAGATAATTTTTAGCTTATAGGTAAGTGTAGTTAGTAAGTTGATTTGTATATATAACTTTATTTAAAAAATATCTAATAAGTCTAATTATTGTAAAGCAAATCCAAAGCAATAAAGCTAAGTTATAATAAATGAATAAATAAGTTATGAACTAATCTAAATATTCTCATATAAGGCATAGATATTCTCAATTTTAGAAGTATTCTCATTAATTGCCTTGGGTGTAGAATCTAGAGCTTCAGGTTCAGGTTTTGAATCTGAGTCAAGGTTAGAATTGGAAGTATTACTCTTAGTATAATATATTCCAGAATTATGATGATCTATCTTATGTCTCATTGCAACTCTGCTAAGAAATTCAAGATGTTGTGAAGTTGGATTTTGACTATCATGAACTCTAGAAGCATGTTTACTTCCAATTTTTCTTAATCTTTTGGCTATAATATCATATGATTTTAAAATTTTACTAAATACTCCTGTACTGTATTTTTTATTAATATTATAGACAGAATTGCATAACTTTCTAGTTGCTATTGCATTTTGGATCCAGGTAAGCAATTCTTTTGCATGTTCTGAATTCTTTTCCATAAATAGAAATTGCTGAGCTTCAGGATTATTTTTTGCTTCTCCTTTATTTTTAATATATCTAATACAATACTAAGAATAACCAAACTTGTACCATTTATAAGGATTTGATTTACTAGGTTCATAATGGATAATATGAAGAGTAAAAACTTCGACAGATCTTATACTCAACATCATAATTACATCTGCAAGATCATGCATAGTAGGGATTTTAGTAGTATTGATATTTTGAATTTTTCTAAATATTTTCTTTAAAGAAAAATGTTTGAAAGTTTTAGGTAAAATAGGTAATCATTGTTCGAGTTGTCTCTTTTAAATTTTATTAAAAGCTTAAGTAACTTCTAGTAATTTGATATATATATAAATTTGCTCAAAATCAACCTTAGCTTCTGCTTACTCTCTACAAAATTGTGAAACACAAGAACTGGCTGTTACAATTGCTTCATCTGTATTATTTTTTGGTATAGCTAAGTCTAAAGCATGTAACCAAATATCCTATACATCTTTAGTTTTTGCACAATATTGAGCTCTTTTCTTGATAATAAGCCTTTTTTTTTGTTGTTTAGAATCAGAGCTCTTATTTGATTTTCTTTAAATAAGCACTGATGAAGAGCCTCTTTTACATCTTTATAAGCTTTTTAATCCAGTAGTATAGTACTAAGCTTATTAGCATAAGCACATAATTGAAGCAAATTTTATTCAGCTAAAAGGTTATATTTATTGAGAACCTGATCCAAAACAGAGGTAAAGCTATTAGTTTTGGGTTTTCTAGTTTTTTGAACAGTTGCCATAATAGATATATAAATAATCTATATCAATAAATATGATTATACACTAATCTACTTATTTTTTTTTAATTCAAAATTAATTATGCTTTTTCCTCTTATATTCAAAAAAAAAGTTTATGTACTTGCATAAGCAAGACCAAGATGTCGAGCTATATAATTATACTTCATGCATAGAATCAGGTAAGTCAGATATATAATTCTTAAGCATAAAATTTTTGCATATAATTCAGCCTATTTTTTTTATGATAATTGATTCTTCTATGATATTTTTCCAAATGTTTCATACACATGTTATATAAAGAGGTAGTTGGCATACCACATTTACCACATGGAATATGTAGTTGAATTTTCAATAAAGAGTGCATCCTTCTTAATGATAGCAACCTTTTCCACAAATATGTTTATCAATAAAAGTATATAGACAAGAATAAAATCTTATGCTAATATCAATAATTAATAACTTTCAAATTTGCATATATGAAATAATTATTTTTTAAATTAAACTTTTTGTAACAATATTTATATAAACAAATTCAAAATTACTATATATACTTTTTGTCAGATCAAACAATGCATATATACAAATTAATTAAATAAGTTTGTCTAGTAAAGCAAAAAAATGTTTTCATAAATCGTTATAGCAACAGTGCTTAAATCAAAAGTCAGCTAAATATAATAAAGCAAAAAGGCTTTTTACAAGTTTAACAGATCTTGATTATAAACCTGGCCATAGAGAACATATATTTTATAAATACTAGCTTGCATCTAATAATCATGCCAGCTCAGCTGATAAAAATGATACTATGCTTTTAGATGCATATTGTTAGTGGCAAATCTATACTCCTAACCTCAAAGAATTGCCTAAAATAGATTAACAGTAAAGTCCTGAATTGATGCTACATTAGATTATAACTGTAGCTGCTAAGCCTCTAGAACAATTACCATTGTCAGGCCCAAAATAGTAAAGTAATCTGTACTAACCTGATTGATAGTAAAGGCTAAAATAAGTTAATAGAGTAATATTGTTTTGTGAGATAAAGCTTGTGGCTATGTGAATGTATCTCTAATTGATTAAAAGAATAATAATATTGGTTAGAAGGTGAAAAAAAAGTGTTGAATAAGAGAGATGTGAAGGCTGTGAAAAAGAAGAGATAAAGAATTAAATCAAAAAAGAATAATGGTTTGGGACCTATAAGAAAATAATATAAGAAAGCATAAGGGAACATTTGAAAAATTCCTTAGAAAAATGTTATAAATAGACTGAAAAATTACCTCTTGAATGTAGTGTGCCCCATCCTAAAAAAAAAAAAAATAAAACATAAAAAAATTCTTTTATAATAAAAGCTCCAAATCATATAACAGCCTATACTTATTTTGTAATACTTCTTATTATTCACCTTGACCTTGTGCCAAATTATTTTTGGCTTTGGAACATTGAGAAATGTTACATGACATAATTGTTTTCTAAGTAACAATTTATTACCTTTCTTGTAGTTAATGTATGTGTGTGTCCTGACCAATTTGCCTATAATAATATCAACCTGAAGAGATCCATTCTCAATATATAGTTTGAGTAGCAAAAAAAGCCTATATAGTGATTGATTATTCTTTCAAAGTTTATAAAATATCTGATGTCTATGAATGTATTAATGAAAATCAACCTTTTCATTTAGTAATCGATATTAACATGAGACAAAAGCCTGATCTTTCTAATTTTAAACTTTTTTCTCTAGATAATAAAAAAATTAATCATAAGGATTTGATATCTCGAATTTTAGTCACTTGAGCAGATGCATTGAGTCTTATACTGAGATGCATGCTTTTCTTAAATTCTTTTGCATTAGCAAGTTCATCAAATACTAATAAATATAGCTGGCATATTATTTATCCTTAGGCCTAATTTGTAGATTATAGAGAACTTAAAGGTTTTATAGAAAAAGTTATGAAATTAGTTGAAAAACCTTATGCCAAATTTATTGATGTTGGCCTTTTCAAATTATATTTTAGTCTTTGACTTCTTGGATTAGCAAAAAAGAGACATATAAAAAGACCTACTATCTTTTCTATAAATAAGAGATTTAAAAATTTAAATGATTATCTAGTTTAGTCTAAAGAAAATTATTCTATAATTTGGTCATAAACTTTTTCAGAAGAGAGACCAGCAGAAGAGAAATACTAACTTATTAATGATGATAATGCCTTGGTTAATGGAGCCAATTTAGTTATTGCAAATTACAAATAGCTTCAGATTGGAAGAATCGAGAAGAGATTTATCAACTTTTAAGTACAATATATTAAAGAATGCTATATATGTAATGTTAAACATGAATAAGACCAACTCTATAGGTTTATTTGAAAAAATGAAGATTTCATACTTAAATGTTATTACCAAAAACAATACAAGCCAGATCATAAGAGCCTTAGCTTTGGTAAGGTATCAGATAAAGTAAAATCAAAAGTAAAACCTAAGTGAAAATTAATTGAAAAACTACTTAAAGCTATAAAACTCCACACCTACTTGCAAAATTATTTGGAAAAAATATTAATATTAGTGAAATGAAAGTGCTTCAGAAGTTTATCCAAATTTTTTGAGTAAAGAACCTACTATAATTCTTATTCACTCATCTGTAATGACAGAAAAAACAAAAGGCCTAAAAAATATTTCCAATTCCTTAGCTAAAGAGGAAGTTAGCCTGCCATGTTTTGTTTGAGATTTATATCACAAAACACTTAGTAATAAGACTAAAGCCAAAGTTAATATATTACAAAGTACAAGATTGCATATATGCAATTATTAAGAAGTTGAAGAAGATTTAGCTATCTGTGACTAGGATGTTATTATTGTTCAGGTTGAAAGTACACATCACCTTTTTCTTTTTAGAGATCATTCTTATGTAGTTATCTTAGATGAAGTAAATGCTATTATGCATTAAATGAATAGTGAAATTCATGCTTGAGAATCTGAAAATGCCATGCAAGATTTGTTAAAGTTAGCAGTTCATGTTGTAGCTATAGATGTCTTTGCAAATGAAAGTACATTAACTTTCTTATGACAATATTAAGATAAAAATAAATGAGTTTTTGATAATAAGTATCAGCCATATAAAGGTAAGTCTGTGAAAATTCTTTATGACTCAGACAAAAAAGTAGAGGCTATATATAAAGGCTTTAAAATACTTAAAAAAGGTAAATAGGTTTTCTTTTCAGTTACTGCATACAAAAAAGCTAAATCTATAGCTATTCATGCTTCTAAGTTATTAAACCCAAATGGATTATATATTTTATTATGAGTTTATTTTGGTCAAATAGATAGAAAACAGTATCAAGAGATTTTATCAATATTAATGTTACTTAGAGTACTCTCAATTGTGTAGTTTATACAAGTACTATAGAAGCCAGTATTTCTTTTGAAATTTCTAATCATTTTGATGCAGTTATAGGAATAAGTAATATTAATACAGAAGTACATGTTAAAGCTTTTGCACAAATGTTTTATCAAGTATGTAATTGTCCATATTATATTATTTTTCTTTATAATAATAAAAAAAATAATATTTTCAAAAAACCAAATTATAATCTTATTTGTGCTGAACTTTCTGCCTTGAGACCTGAAGATTTACTAACAGCAATCAAAGGTTATCATGAATAAAATAAAATTTCTGATTGTTATATTGTTGACTCATCACTAGCAGTTAAAACTTATATTGAGGTTGAATATCAAAAATGCTTATCTGCCAAATACTTTCCTGAAATTCTATGCAGTCTTATTGCTAGTACTGATGCAACACTTGAATTAATTTTAGTAGAAGATATGAAAAAAGTTAACAGAAGTGAAGTTTCTCATACTATTAAGAAAATTAAGAAAGAGATTAAAAGTTCTGATATAGAATCAATAGCCAATGCTCTAGGTATTAGTCCTGATAAAGCTGAAATTCTTAAGCAAAATCCTATATGCTCTTTTACTGATAATATAACTCTACAATAGTATTATTTGTGAAAAGTATATGCTTTAGGTGATATTGAAGATAAAGATGATACTAAAGACTAAAGAATGAATAATAATAATTGAATTAAACTTTGTGATATATATTTCATAAAAATATGCTACCAAAGTAGTACAAAGACATTATAGTAAAATTTTAGGTTTTGTAGTTGCAAGAGCAGTACAAAAACCTATTATTACTTATGATTTAGGCTTTACAAGAATCTCCTGTTTTGAATAACCAATTTCACATCACCTTTTTAGAGCTTTATAACTGATTTTTCTTTACCTATATTGTTTTCTTCTCAATGACCTTCCTATTATATAAGAATGCAGCTAGATCATTTTGGTTAAAATATTGTTATTTCTAGATAATATATTACCTATGTGTTGTATAGAGCTCGATTAGGATAGCAAACAGGTTTTCTCAT